GCCATGGAACAGTCTGCGGGTGGTCTCGCGTCGAAACAGAAACAGCATCGGCAGACGGAGCAGTCATTTGGAACAAACTTCCCGAGTATATCTTTGTGCGTTTTGAAACACGTACACGGTGGACTATCCCAGGAATCGATCAAGAAAACGTCTTCCCAGTCAGCGTGCAAAGTGGACTGTGGTTTTTGGACACAGGCCGCGCTAACCCACAATTGAAAGTGACGCGTTATCAATTTCCCATTGCCCCCGACTTCGCGGATACGTTCTATGGCGCGCAAGGTAGCACAATAGAGCCAGGCGTGATTGTGGACATGATCGGTGCAGACCCAATAGCGGCTTACATTGGGATGACGCGCTGCCGCACACGGCAGAAGATTTTGATCTATCGACCGTTCCCGCTGGCTCCTTTTCAGGAGGGCCTGCCGCTCGGAAGGCAACTTCTTCTTGACGTGTGGAAGCAGGAGCCGGTGGACTGGGATGCGTTGCGCAAGAAGTATCTGGATGAGAGGCCATGTCATGAATGTGGGGAGATGAAACGCAAAGACGCATTCACCAAAGCGCAGTGGAAACAAGACACCTATCGGGTCTGCAAAGAATGCACCACGCAGAAGCGCGAGGCAGGAACACCTTATCGATGCACGCAGTGCGGCCTGTGGCACGCTGTAACACACTTTGCGTCAAAGCACCACAATCCACGGTGGAGCATGTACCGCATTTGTCTATCATGCGACGCGAAGAAACAATGTTGTCTGTGTCAGAGAAAGCAGACGCGCGAATCTTTTAGCTCCGCCGCGTGGAATGCAAGGAATCTAGAACGAAGACTATGTTTGCAATGCCAAACAAAGACACGTGGACAGTGGGTCTGTGCAGCATGCAAGAAACGAAAGCCAATGTTGCAGTTTGCTATATTTTGCAAGCAACGACTGTCCAGCCAAAATGGCACACAAGTATGCGACGCATGCCATGCAATCACAGCGCAGGCGACCATGCGCAAACGCGCCGCAGCAGCCAGTACAAAGCGTTTGGAACCTCTGCGCAAAAAGCTTTGCCAGCGACAAATTCTCCGTGAGACATGGGAAGCAATCGCCGAGCACAGAAACAAACGCACTAGTGCCACGTCAGCAGTGGCCCGACTGGAGCCTCTTCGCAAGCGACTCCGCCGCCCGCAGGAAACGATTACACGACAACAAGGCGCGCACCAGCAACCTGGTGGAAAAGATTTTCCGCTGCAGGCTGTGTCAGTAGCCAATCAGGAGTCTAAGCGCTACCAGTACACGTGCCCATTCTGTACAGTTGCTGTGGCCAGCACAGTGAAAACTGGTCAGGTTGATCACCGTCATGCTTGTGGCAATGAGTTTCGTGTTCATGCTGGCGTTGTGTCAGGTCGCGTCCACAAACACGCATGCCCTAGATGCGGGACTATCGTATTGTCATCGGCGGCAGCCGGACGAATTCAAGTAAAACACAAAACCCCTGCTGGCAAGACTTGCAGCCAAGAAAGATGGCAAACCCATCAGTGATGATTTGCACGGTCAAACGTTCCTGAAGGACGAACGAGTCCGAGCACCTGCTGCTGCTGCCACTGCACAAAGACACGGCCAAACGTTGAACGAGTCCGAGAATCCCACCGAAAAACTTCTAACTGCTGCTAGTCCTGCTGCTGCAACTGCTGCTGCAGGCCTCCAAAACGTACCCTTCGCCACACCGAAACACCATGGCCCTGAAGGACGAACTAGTCCGAGAAGCGCACTCAAAAAAGGTCTAACGTTGCTTCTGAAACCCTAAATCGGCGCTCAGACACGGCCAAACGGTGCTGCTGCTGCTGCTGCTGCTGTTGCTGCTGCTGGTGCTGCTAGTCCTGCTGCTGCAACTGGTGCTAGGGCCCTGAAGCACGAACTAATCCGAGAAGCCTACCAAAAAAGTGTCTAACGTTGCTTCTGAAACCGTAGAAACAGAACAGAAAATCGGCGCTCAGACACGGCTAAACGGTGCTGCTGCTGCTGCTGCTGCTGCTGCTGGTGCTGCTAGTCCTGTTGCTGCAACTGCTGCAGGCCTCCAAAACGCACCCTTCGCCACACCGAAACACCATAGCCCGGAAGGACAAACTAGTCCGCGAAGTCCACCAAAAAAGTGTCTAACGTTGCTTCTGGAACCGTAGAAACAGAACAGAAAGTCGGCGCTCAGACACGGCCAAATGGTGCTGCTGCTGCTGCTGCTGCTGCTGCTAGTGCTGCTAGTCCTGCTGCTGCAACTGGTGCTGCAAGCCGCCAAAACGTACCCTTCGCCACACCGAAACACCATGGCCCTGAAGGACGAACTAGTCCGAGAAGCGCACCCAAAAAGGGTCTAACGTTGCGTCTGAAACTCTAGAAACAGAACAGAAAATCGGTGCTCAGACACGGCCAAACGATGCTGCTGCTGCTGTTGTTGGTGCTGCTAGTCCTGCTGCTGCAACTGGTACTGCAAGCCTCCAAAACGTACCCTTCGCCACACCGAAACACCATGGCCCTGAAGGACGAACCAGTCCGAGAAGCGCACCCAAAAAAGTGTCTAACGTTGCTTCTGAAACCCTAGAAACAGAACAGAAAATCGGCACTCAGACACGGCCAAACGGTGCTGCTGCTGCTGTTGCTGGTGCTGCTAGTCCTGCTGCTGCAACTGGTACTGCAGGCCTCCAAAACGTACCCATCGCCACATCGAAACACCATGGCGCTGAAGGACGAACTAGTCCGAGAAGCGCACCCAAAAAATGTCCAACGTTGCTTCTGAAACCCTAGAAACAAAATAGAAAATCGGCGCTCAGACACGGCCAAACGGTGCTGCTGCTGCTGCTGCTACTGCTGCTGCTGCTGCTGGTGCTGCTAGTCCTGCTGCTGCAACTGGTGCTGCAAGCCTCCAAAACGTACCCTTCGCCACACCGAAACACCATGGTCCTGAAGGACGAACTAGTCCGAGAAGCTGACCAAAAAAGTGTCTAACGTTGCTTCTGAAACCCTAGAAACAAAATAGAAAATCGGCGCTCAGATACGGCCAAACGGTGCTGCTGCTGCTATTGCTGCTGCTGCTGCTACTGCTGCTGCTGCTGCTGCTAGTGCTGCTAGTCCTGCTGCTGCAACTGGTGCTGCAGGCCTCCAAAACGTACCCTTCGCCGCACCGAAACACCATGGCCCTGAAGGACGAACTAGTCCGAGAAGCGCACCCAAAAAGTGTCTCACGTTGCTTCTGAAACCCTAGAAACAGAACAGAAAATCGGCACTCAGACACGGCCAAACGGTGCTGCTGCTGCTGTTGCTGTTGCTGCTGCTGCTATTGCTGCTGCTGCTGCTAGTGCTGCTAGTGCTGCAGGCTGCAGGCCTCTAAAACGGACCCTTTGCCACACCGAAACACCATGGCCCTGAAGGACGAACTAGTCCGAGAAGCGCACCCAAAAAATGTCTAACGTTGCTTCTGAAACCCTAGAAAGAAAATAGAAAGTCGGCGCTCAGACACGGCCAAACGGTGCTGCTGCTGGTGCTGCTAGTCCTGCTGCTGCAACTGGTGCTGCAGGCCTCCAAAACGTACCCTTCGCCACACCGAAACACCATGGCCCTGAAGGACGAACTAGTCCGAGAAGTCCACCAAAAAAGGGTCTAACGTTGATTCTGAAACCCTAGAAACAAAACAGAAAATCGGCGCTCAGACGGCCAAACGGTGCTGCTGCTGCTATTGCTGCTGCTGCTACTGCTGCTGCTCCTGCTGCTGCTGCTCCTGCTAGTCCTGCTGCGGGGAAATACCAAGGCCTTAAAGGATCTGAAATCCTAAAGAATCCATATAATCCCAGAACAGATCAGGGCGGGAAGGGCAACCCAAGGAGCCCCACGTACCTCGAGGAGACTCCGGGAAGGACCCCCCACCGGTGAAACAAAAACCCCGGAGTCAAGGAATCGACGTACGTGACCGGTGGGAGGGGGACCCAGCAGGGTCCCCCGGCAAAGGGTCATTGTTTGTTGTTGTTGTTGTTGTTGTTTCTTGTTGTTTGTTGTTGTTTGGTGTTGATTGTTACTGTTGTTGGTTTTTGTTTGGGTTTATGTTTGTCTTTGTGGTTGTTGTTGTTCTTGTTCTTGTTGTTGTTCGTGTTATATGTTTGTCTTTGTGGTTGTTGTTGTTCTTGTTCTTGTTGTTGTTCGTGTTGTTCTTGTTATTGTTCTTCTTCTTGTTGTTGTTGTTGTCGTTGTCGTTGTCGTTGTTGTTGTTGTTGTTGTTGTTCTTGTTGTTGTTGTTGTTGTTGTTGTCGTCGTTGTTGTTGTTGTTGTTGATGTTGTTGTTGTTGTTGTTGTTGTTGTTGTTGTGTTGTTGTGTTGTTGTTGTTGTTGTTGTTGTCGTTGTCGTTGTCGTTCTTGTTGTTGTTGTTGTTGTTGTTGTCGTCGTTGTTGTTGTTGTTGTTGATGTTGTCGTTCTTGTTGTTGTTGTTGTTGTGTTGTTGTGTTGTTGTTGTTGTTGTTGTCGTTGTCGTTGTCGTTCTTGTTGTTGTTGTTGTTGTTGTTACGTGACCGGTGGGAAGGGGACCCCTTTTCTTCCATCTTCTTCCCTTACGCGCTCCCCCTTGCATCGGCCGGGGTCGGCGGATATAGATATATATAGTATATATGATTATATATGTATATAGTATGTGTATATATATAATGTGTAATGTGTATATATATATATACACATAATGGTATATAATGTATATATATATATATAATGTGTATATACAAAATGTATATATATATATAATGTGTATATATACATATATACATACATAGATATACATCTACTTGCATATGTGGGTCAAGGGGAACAAGATCCAGCAACCCCTCCGCCACAACTTCTTGCCTTAGATGAGAAACATGGAGAATCGGCACTGACATGTATGTGTAAATTACTAATGCGTATAGATTAGGTATCCCTTTGCAGCAGTCCATCAGTGTGTGCTCATCAAAAAGAGCCTTTCCATTAACCAAGCCTCAGTCTTTCCTAAGGCATTCTTGGTGCCCCCATCCCAGAGACAAAAAATCAGGAGTCTTGGCAGTTGAAACCTCGAGAACAGAACCGAAAATACGAGTTGATTCTCCTGGCGATCTCATGGATTTGCATTTATGTCCTTCTTCACTTGCTTTCCCTTTGTGATGTGTGACAGAATTGATTTAGGCAGGAATTGATTTCTGCATCTCTTTACCCAAAAGGGTTTGATCCAACAGGCAGTTCTTTCAAGTGATTGCAAGGATCTGAAGAGTAAATGCGTTGAGACGCAGCCCCTGTCAACTCTGTGGTGTCAGGAAGGCAAACCTGCCTTGTCCTGTCAAATCATTTTGCCTCAGAAGCAGTCAGGAGGCTAAGCACTTGACAAATCTTCCGTGGTGAAGGCTGTTTCGCGGTGTTCGGTGTGTAGTACATGTTGTAGCAGGTCTGTTGATACGTGCTTAGGCTCAAGCGAAAGAATGACCTCTACGTAATGCCGCGCTCCCAGATGGCCCCGTAGCAAGAGGGCTTAGAGGTTATGAGACTCGATTTTCAGAAAATGCCAAATCTTTTGTCTTCCTTGGTTCTCTTAGGATGGTATCATGGGCACACTGCATAGCAGCAAAGGAGAATTTGTGTATTTATGTGTGTCCATTCTCTTTTCTTGGGGCATGCAATCGTTCACACTGATCAGTTTCAGAATACGTTCGGAATGATGTCCAGGAGAAGTACATCGCCATCGTGAGTACTGTGGTGGAGACTACAAGCAGCGCTCGCGTAGTTGATGTGCTTCAACTCTTGCAACGTTAATGCGACATGACATGGCCAGATCCAGAGAAAGAGATTGAGCCTGCTTTGAAGCTGCTGGGGCCGATACAGCACAAGTCCAGCTCCTACAGTACAAGTCATGTGTTTGCATCATTTTGCATCCGGTTCCTGATGTTCCTGAGATCTGCAAGGCTTCCATAGCCATTCAACACAGACGTGTGTTGGAAAGAATGGAAAGAAGCAGCTCTAGTCTACTAAGTCTACTAAGTCTACTAAGTCTACTAGGTCTACTAGTTCCCTTCCCATGGCAGTTGCAGTCGCCCCGAGGTTTGTCCAGATCAGTGAGATCAGAGACCCTGTGACAGACGGAGCAGCAGACCCTTGGGCAGACGAGATGTGTTTTCAGCTTTGAACATGTTGAACATTGCACATATTGCACAGAGCTTCACGGGTTGGTGCCAAGGATGGTGTTTTTGTCACAGCAAGCTATGATCCATCCTCGCACTTTGAAGACGCCTCTACTGAAGTCCTTGCATTGTCTTGACCTCAATCTGGCCGGGTAGAAACAACTGGGGCTTCCAGATATGTCTTCTCTGATCCTGGGCTCCATGGGAATCCGGAAATCTTGGTTTTGCTATGTTTTGCTATGTCTTGATAGCTGCTGTATCTGCTGTATTTTCAATGTCTGTAGTGGCAGAGGTGGAAGAAGATCACTGGGGAAAGCCTGGACCTCACAGTGCTCCCAGAGGATGAGGCCACGTCGCACAGGTCATTGTGACATCTCAAGATGGAAACATTAGAAACACCATGAGACACTGAAACACCTTTTGAATTCTTTCATGAGGCATCATAAGGCTTAGACTTAGAACTTGTAGAATTTTGGAACTTAGATGTTCTTCTCAAGTCGCAATAATTCGTTGCAAGTTCATGCAAATCTCGCAAAACTGGAAGGACCAATGAAGGCCAGCACAATCATCTGAAGTGTCTGGCGGGTGCCCAGACTTGCTTGGTGCCCCCAGATTTGCTTTGAAATGAAATCGATTTCAAATCTCCAAACTGTTTTGCTGAAATCACCAACGTGCACCAAGCTCTTTTCCATGGGTTTCGCTTCAGACAGTCCAGCCCCCGACTTTGTGCAGAGCCTGTCGCAGCTGAGAAGCTTGCTGTTGCCTGCAAACCGATGGGAGAGTAGCGTTCAGCAAAACGGCATAGCGGGATTATTGTGGTTGCGTTGCTGGCATTGCTTCCTGCTTCCACATTGCTTCCATTGCTTGCGCCTTCAAAATTCGGCGTGTGATCTCTCTGTTTCTTACAACACAACCAAAGAAAGCTTCCTGCAGCTCGCAGATAGGGTTCCATGAAGCATAGGAAGCAGTGTGGCTATGTCCTACTTAGTATGAAAATATGCAGCTACTACATGCAACGTCCTGTTTGGCCAACAAAGAACAGTCATGATAAATTGATGGCACATTTAACTAGTAATGCTGAAGTACTGATGGCTAATTGGATCGTCAATGCTTGAAGCAGAATGTCGGTAGATAGCGAGTCAGAATCTCCTTGGATTTCTGTCCAGGCCTTGGGCTGCTGTCTGTGGAAGTCACTGAGACATAAGGTAACTGAACTCCATACTTCAATGACTTCATTGATTTTCAATGTAATCATTTCTTTCCAAAGACTTTTGCTGACCAAAAAAGCGATCCGGTTCTGTCTTGTTTACTTCCCAAGGGGAGTGAAAGCTTGGGCAATGGCGGCCCTGCCTCCAGTACGAATCTTTGACAGTGACAGCACTGAATCATGTTGATACAGCCATGACACATTGCAACACACTGTTGAATGCTCACGTGTACATCAGTCCGAAGTGCAGATCTGCAAGAAAAGTACACGTGACTGCTTTTGTTGATTTGTTGTTTTGATTTGCTTTGCCTCTTGGCCGACTTGACTCATGAGTGATGAGGCAGCAGCACGCGGGTTGCAAAGCAGGCCGCTGCCCAACTGACTTGTTTCTAAGCTGGTTTAAGGAAAAGAGTGACCCAGGTTTGCAAACAACTATAGTAACTATGCAGCATTCTGCAGTTATGCAACTGACCGAAAGTGGCTTGGAGGATCTTGGAGGCCCTATGTTGGTTTGAGACTGTTCTTTGAGCCGCTGCAAGAGCCGCTGCAAGAGCCCTTGCACCAGGCAATTCCTGCAGACGTCTCAGCGAAAGAGGCTCCCGGGAAGCTGTGCAGTGCCCAGATGTGCCCAGCCAAAGAA